ATGAGTTATTCAGATTTTCTATAAAAACATTTTATATTCGAACAATTTATTACATATTATGCTAAAAAGAAATTTTTTTTAGTGTTTTGTAGATTTTTATGATGAAGGCGAAAACTTGGCATTCTAATTTTTTTTTCTAGATTGATCTTATTAAAATTTACTTAAAATTTTATATAAATGGGAGAAACTCATTATTTTTCAAGAATTAAGCTTTGGAATAGGGTTTAATGGACCTCCTCTATGATGCTAAAATTAAAACACTGCTTTAGTCACGTGTATCTTAGTTTATGTATAAAATTTTACCTAAATCCAAAGAAGTGGTCCCTCGAAATAATCGATTTAAAATAAAATGATCCATTTGATATCACTTATTTGAAAATTCTTGATTTTATTTACCATCATTGAGAGTATTTATTTACCATCATTGAGAGTAAGCCAAAGTTGCGTTTTGCGATTATATATTATATTATAATACATGTTTTTTAAAAATATATTTTGATATATTTACAAATTAATCTATGGCAAAGTCAAAAAAAATTTTTTAAAAAAATTAATTTATTATTGAAATTTTCGAAATCTAGTTTGGACGCATAATGTATAAATGCGAGAATCATTTTTTTGAAAAAATATAATACCTTAAAATCTTTATTAGTACCTTTAACCATAAATACCATCGTTTGATGTCTACGTTCATGACCTGCTGCTTCCTTAGAATTAATTTTAAAACATGATATTAAAAATTAACTAATATTCTTTCTTTTTTGTTTAATGTAATTCCCAAATTCAAGAATCGTTTACCTCCAGGGGAAATGTAATTATCACCCGATATATAGTTAAATTTATTAAATATATCGGATTTTTTTTATTATGTTTATTTTATCAAAAAATTAATATAATGCATAATTAATAATCAAATTCAGATATTCGCGATGAAATAAATTGTTAGGGTGAGGTGATCTTAGTTCGACTTGTTACTAAACAGCAAAAGAAAAAAATACAAAAAAACGAGAAAATTAATACTATAAATAGCCACCAAATACTTAAAATAAACCAAGATAGGATGTCCTAGTTTAAAAGCTGTTTTTAAAGCAATTAAGATTAAGTCGATCCAGGACACGGGTTTATACACGTCAAATTTTAAACTAGTTTTAATTTATCCACATGTATAAACGTAGTCTGGATATTTCTAAGGGGGGAGTTTTGTGCTGACATTTGCTCCCATCAAATTTTTTGGATTGCTTTAGGTACGTTAGAATGATGTATAAATAGAGTAGCAGATTCGTTCATCGTAATTTTATGCCTGATGTGCTCAAACTATAATTTTTTTATAGCCAAATAAAAAAATTTATGAATATTATATAACGTATTTTAAATATAATATTTTAAAATATTATAAGAGTAAATATCTTGGTTTATCTCCGGAATCAAGAATAACTTTTTTGCCTTCTATCTGCTATCTTTTAATCTTTTTCTTTCTCCATTTTTTTCCCTCTGTTATCATATCAAATTATAATCTCTGTTACTGATTATTATCTTTGTTATTTTATTGAATATAATGAATAAAAATATATATTATATGTTATTTATTGTACTACTGGCTGGCCGAAGTGATTAGGCAACATGAGATGGCCAGATATATGTTGGTCTGTGATGCATGCTTGCCTTTGTTATTATTTTATTTTTTATAATTAGATTTATAAATTTTCTAACACATGCGCTTAATATTATTTGTACAGTATGCACATTTCTATGCCTTAATTTTCTCGCCCTTTTCATCTATTATATTTGTTTTGTTCGAACAACAAAGAATGATCTGATAACATTCGGAAAATGAATCAACCCCCCTCCCCTCTTCTCCGCCTCCATTCAATTATAGTCGAAGTTTTAATATTTAATTTAAGAAAGACATATTTTACTTATTCTCAAAAATGGTTTTCCTCCTATGTTTATCCTATTTATTAATAAAACATTTTAAGACTGATAATAGGCAAATTAAGTCTTTCCTTCATAAATACCCGGACCCGACAACTTGTATTAAAATATATTTTACGGGTCGGGCCGAAAGTCCTTACGTGATTTATTATTTTTAGGTTATTTAAATATTTTTCCTCTATCTTGAAAATAAAATTTAAAGATCATATAATATATTTTTCTAGATTTTTTAAAGATTTTTAGTTATTTGAGAGTAAAGTTTAAATTGACTCACTTTTTATATATCATTCATTTTTATCATTTAAATTGCAGCCCCATCAAATGTTAAGATATCACTTGATGAGTTTTGTACAGTGTCGACATTTTGATATATAAGTTCGGTTAAGGTTCCATAAGGAAAAATTATAAAGGTTCGGTTCAGGTTACCAGGCGCGAACCCAGTAATTCGCCATGGGGAGGAGGATAATTGAAAAAGTTATATAAGATTATTCTAGGAGTTATTTAAAATTTTAAGTTTCAATTTAGAGCTATTGACTATAAAATTTTAATATACAAATTGATATTGATAAAATATTAAATGTTTTCCCGTCAAATCATTTGAAACTTTTTCACTGCAAAACTAAAATAAAATGTTTCAAAAAAAACATCGATTTGATTGAGATTAGGAGAATCGCTGAAAGCATTATACTGGAACTTAATAAATTAGGTCAAAGACGAATTTCATAAATTATTTGTTATTGTTGAGCTAAAAGCAGAGCTCCCTTAATTTTATATTTGTCTACCATGACACGCAACAAGGCTAGCCCATGGTTCCAATATTAATATAGGGTTAGTCGAAGAATACTAGAATAAATCTCTAATATCTTCATCTTGGATACTTTTATAACTCAAATTTATGAGAAGTTCTTTATCAATCAGGCAGCACTTACAAATCTGCAAATATTATTACCACAGAATCCTTCCTAATCTATTTCAAATTTTAATAGAGAAAAAATTAAATATTTGTTAGATTTTACTGTGAGGATGTTAAAGTATTCCATGATGCATACTAGCTGAATGCAAACTATGATATAAAAGGTTAAATATGGTTGATAATGTTCCAATAAGGTTATAGATGCTTCGCATAATTTCAAACCCATTTTAGACCATCCTGATTTTATATTAAACTATATATTTTGGCAACTCTACCCATTAGTTCCTCTACTTATAAAAGGACATTTTCTCTTTAACAAGAAAAAAAAACATCTGAGAAATTTAGATAATTTCCAGGAAGAAGCGAATATTTGATATGAAATTTAGAAATGGAAGATTCCATATATAAGCGATCAAACTGGCATCGTTAATTTATCACCTTAAAAAGTGTCAAAAATTATTTTTCATCAACAGTGCTTGATGGCAGGTTTGCTTCAGTTAGAATTTTGTTCAGAAATTATTTCAATATTTTCACATAATTCGTCGAGAGATTGCAAGCATTTAATGTAAACATTGGTTAATGATAGGTACTGCCTTAGGTAGTACCTATCAAATTTGTATTTTGTTTATTTATCATTTGGATAGGTACTGCCAAATTTATTTATATTATATAAAAATCGTGATTTTTGAAAAGCGTATGTGGCGTAGTTGGCAAGAGCGTCGCTTACCAATCTGAAGTTCTGGGTTCGAATCCCAGCAAAGATCATGTATTTTTCTTAATCCAACTTCGTGGTTTTGTCCTTGGGTGAGGGGTGGGGGTCTTATATAGGAGGTCGGACTCGACTACGTGATTCCATGAGGGTCTTCTTTTCATTTTAATAAATTTTGGCGGGATTTAGCAAATTAGGTTGTTATTTAGAAAATTGCTATACGTTCTTGGTGGTATCTATCATTAACCAAAACATAAGTCTATAATTATATTTTTAGGATGACTGTTTCCAGATTTTGAAACTTTATCCATAGCGGTTTAGATTGCATTATTTATTTTTAACAGTATTACTAAACCACATATGATGAATAATACCGGGCAAAATATATGAAAAATACATAAAATATGTAAAGTGACGCGCAAAGCACGATTAATGAAACAATTTTACATCAAGACAAAAAAGTACAAAATATGCAAAAATGATACTAAAAGCACGCGAAATGGCGCAAAATAATATAAACGAACGCAAATTCAAAGAGGGTACAAAATGACAAAAATGTTTATAAAGCACGGAAAATGATGTAAAAAATAATAAAAATCTAATTGTGAGCCTTTGCATTTTAGCACATTATAAAGAGAAATTACTTATATAAAAAAATCTTTCTTCCATGTTCTTAATTTTTGAAAGTTTATTAAATTTATGGCCGATATTTTACATATTTATTTATTATGGCGAAGCGAAACGCTAATATTTGCTTTACCTTTTTTTTACGCAAAATATATTATATTTTTTATATATACAACAATAAGCTATGGGGTTCGGTTCATATATATATATTATATTTTTTTCTAAAAGAAATTGTTTTTAATAATTATTTGACCACGTCGCGCAAAATAATTTCATTTTGAGGACATTTTTTTTCTTTGAAAAATAAATACCAAAGATATAAAAAAATATTAAAAGATATATTATTAATTAACGAGTGCGTGGGAAAGAAAGTAGTTTTATTTTTATCATGCACAAGAACAATAGGACACTTTAATTTTAATATATGGGGTTTTTTTTAATATTATTAATAAAAAATGATAAAATAATATCCTTCCACCCCAATATTTATTATGTTTTTTGTTACTAGTATTAAAAGTTATACTTATAATCCCTTTTAAAAGAGTGAATAGGCTTTGCAAATATTAAATTCTTTAAAATAATCTTAGATTATTTGTTTATTAAGATACAGCTTCTTTTTGCTTCGTTATAGAAGTTCAACATAATGTTTTTATATAAAATTATTTATTTATTTTTAAACTTAAGTATTAGTTCGTTTTTATAAATTGCCGATTTTCTAATATCTCAAAAATGGGTGTTACGCTATTATTTTATGTGAGAAATATCTTTAAAATTGACTTAACTTTCTCGTACTATATCAGTTTAATTTTAATAAATAAGGTAAATGTATAGCTGGATCCATAGTGAAAATTAGATGGATGCCGTTCCTATAGGGGATAATGAGTATGCATGCACTAAAAAACGCAAAATATGTGATAAATCGCATTTAGAGATATTTGGCTATTGTGATGTTAATGATTCAAATACCAAAACGTCCAAAAATTTGCTGCTCAAAAATAATGAAATGTATTCTAAATTTACTTCATCTCTTCCTATTCATAACAACAATTGTGATTTTCAAAATAACAATATGCTCAACGATGCTCAAATTCCATATTCTTTACCTAACCACAAACATTACAATCCTACAATATCCGATATTTGTGCCAATGGTATTAATGTATATCGTAAAAATTCTCTTAAATTACCTTTTGATTATTCTTGCCTTAATCCACAAGTGCCAGCTAAGGTATACGAAGTTGAGAAAAATGGCAGTTCATACCTTAATTTACCCGATAGTCTGTTCAACAAAAATTCCAATAATTATTTAAATCAAAATGTATCCAATAATTTTGCTACTAGAATAAACGCAAAAATTCCCATAATATCCGAAAGCAGTTCGAACAACTTTTATACTTTTTCTAATAAGGGTGGTATTACACCTTTTCTAAATCCCATCAACCATGTATCATCGACGTTCTATACAAAATGTAACACCTTAACCGCAAATCCTGATACCTCAATCTACAATCTTAACGAATATAATGATCACCATCCATACCATAACTCATCAAATTTTACTTCCGAACCTTCCAAGTACCTATTCTCAAATCGCCACAATATTTCTACCTCCGCTATTTCTCGACATTTCCCAATCGATAAATTAATTCCGTGTTCCGGACACAATAAACCCAATGAAATTACCAATAATAATTATTATTCAATGGTTAATCAATCTATATGTGATGGCTTGCATTCTATTAACAATACCTTGACCAACCCTTACCCCATTATTAGCCACGATTGCTCACGTTGTTTTTCGCTCTATAGAACACATTATTCCTGCCCCTGTCCTAATTATAAACGTGAACCCGATTATTTTGTTCCACGCCACTCTATAATCAACTGCGGAAGAGTGCAAACTCACACTTCTAACCTTGTACAACCACTATCCTTTGATACTCTTCCTATGCTTTCCACAACTTCGAATTTGCCTACTAACTTGCATCACTCACACATTCCCGCTCAACAATATGCAGTATTCCATTTGCACCACCATTGTTGTCTCTGTTGTTTGCCTCCGATCCCATCCTTTGCTACCCAGCCTTTATTTGCCCCTCAACATCACAATTTTAACGATATGCCTTATACTTTACCATTACCTGTCTGTGAATGCAACAGACATGTAACTTTACCCTTACCTGTACAATATATTCATACCCCTTCCACACTTCCAGCACCAACCATCCCTCCTATAATGTTTGTCATGAATAGCCTTAATAATTTGAACAATTTTTCTCATTGCCATCATTCAAACTCTTCTACAGATTTTTCTCTTCCAGTGCAAAATAATAATTATGATTTGGAAAACGAGTCATTAAACATTAACAGGCGTAGTAACTTTAACCGGCTAATTAGAAATATTGAAAGTGTCGATAACCGGGGAAATAATGAAGTATTATTTATTTATTTGTGTAAATTTAAATTATTTGTTTATAAAATCACTGTGCACTTTTACTTTCCTTTTCATGGAAAGTTAAATTGTTAATTATGATAACCTAACTTATTTTTTCATTGCACCTATTTAAATATTAAATACCCGTAGAACCCTTCACAAAATCAACATCCACTTCCCTCTGACATTTCCCGGGACACAAATCATATAAATAGATTTTCTCGCGATTTAAATCGTGTTAGAGGTGAAATATTAACCAGAAATAACGCGAATAGAAGATCGAATTTGATAAATGGCAATAGACGCTATAGAAATTCTGATGTTTCGTCTAATAGAAGAAATCAATTCTTTGTTCAATTTTTGTAAGTTTCATTTTATATCATATCAAGAATTAATTTTTCAGTTTATGAGGTTTTATCGTGTACCCATCCAATTTTGCAGCTAAAATATTAATATGGTTGAATAAAACCTAGTTATTAATATCCAAGAGGACATAAATTTATTTAACTATAGCGAAAATTAACAATATTCCTGTATTGTTAACTTAATTAGCTTTAAAGGGTATTGCGAAAAATACTCTTGATTATTTCTTAAATAATATAAATTAAGAATTAAATTTGAATATTAGTATATATCTTCTTGGGTATTTAAAAAATCGAAAAATATAAGATATTGTATTTAAAAAAAATTTAAGTTAAAAATAACGAAGCATTATATGAGATAAACATAGTAAACAAATTTAAGTTATACTATAACCGATTTATTTAACATTACTTGAGAACAGCTTCTGCCCGGACTTTCAAATTAGTAGAACAATAAAGAAAGATAAATAAAAGAGATTGTGCTATATAACAAATAACATTCTGGAAAGGTTTAAATTCTTGAAAGCACATTTTATAAAAAGTTTGATTACTACTTAGTATTTGCTATTACACTAAAGCAATTTATATATTGTAGATAATGGTAATGTGGACGTGGAGAGAGGTTACTTATCTAGCATAACTTAAACTATCTACAAAAAAAAGACTCATAATGCTATTTAATTGGCTGACAATTGAATTTCTAGTATATCACTTCTATACATAAGTTTTAAAATTTTAATTGTCCATTATTTGATTTTTTACAAAAACTTTTCGGTCGAATTGAATAATAATTTTATTATTCACAAATTCTTACTATTGGGAATTCTTATTTCATATAAAATTACTTTAATTCCAAATTCAAATAGACGCAAAATAAATCATAGTTCTAGATCGAACGACGAATTGTTTTATTATTATAAATATTTAAAAACAATTTAGATTTCCTAAGTATACTTTAGGCGTATAAAGTCACAAAATCAAATACACCAATTAATTATTAAACCTATAATAACCAAATAAAATAATGAGTATTTCAGATAATAACAATGGCTTACGTAATATCATTTTAAATACCTCAACATATTCCCATTTTTAAAGACTATCTTATTCCCAGAAAATTGGGTCTCTTACCTATTCTGCTAGACCATCTAACCCCAGTATTCTCTGGAATTTCCTTTTCTTTGCTCCTTAGTTTCCTTCCTTCGTTCCTTTAATTGGTTTACGTGTCTACGCTCGGCTCCAATCTCTATAATACCTGTATGTGGGTCATCAATCACTGGCGGCTCCCCATTTTACATTCGTATTATACGTCCGTGCCCACACTAAATCAACTTTCTTGAATTGCCGGGTCCTTAACTCGCTGTTTATCAAAACAGCTAAACTCGTAACTGATCCCAAATCACACTTATTTTAAGTTTGAATTTTTATCTCATCTGGCCATTGCTCCAGTTGCTGGATGTCTAGTCGTCTTGTAATTCCCCAGAAATTGGTATAATCCAAGTTATTGTCGAGTCGTCTTGTCGTTTCTGGGTCACCATGAAAATTAACCACTATTCGGCCGACCCCCTTCGATTTTTTTAAAATTTGGTAAGCAAAGAAAGGGTAGTGTAGTTAAGAAATAGCCAAAATTTTAGCCTCGTATCATTTATATTTTTGGAGATATTAGGGTTCAAAGTGGCAAAAATGACGTATTTTTACCATTATCTGCCGTCATTCAATTAAGCATATCTTAAAAACTACATAATTGTAAATAACAAATTTAATATCAAAATTACGTAGAATGATTCTACTTTTAGATAAAAAAAAAATTTAATTTTTTTTCAATTTCCGGTCATTTTATTTAATATATAATGACTAAAAACAATTTTTGGAAATAATACGACCTTCAATTTTTTTAAAAAATTTAGTAGACATTATTAAACTCTTCCTTTATATTTATAAAAAAAAATTAATCTGGGACGCGGCCATCTTCATTCTCAAAATCGATAAAAATGTTTAGAAAAGTGTATAAATATTGTCCCGAAAGGGGGCGTCTTTGTATAAAATTATATATTAATCAGTTTTTAATGGTTTTTCTTGGACTATTTGATATAATTTAAAGGATTATTCATCTTGTAAGTGAAAATAACAATAAACGGGGCTTTCATTCAATTATAGAAATTGTCTATCTATAAAAGAAATTCATTATTTATAATTTATTATAAAATTTTTTGCGCATATAACATATATTTAATGAATATTAATAAAATTTGTTCAATTAAGTTTCAAGTTCTTGAATATATGTATCAGAATCTTGTGCATTTCATATATGGCGCCTTAAATATTAAAAAAATTGATTTTATTTAAATTTAAAAATCTAATAAACAACTCACTTTTAAAAGATTCTAATTTGTTGGTAGCGCATTTACTTTCTTGTGACAACAATGTATAATTACGGCCAGTAGCAGTTAACAGTAAAACTAATGTTAAGATATAACATTTGGGCAAGTAAAGAGTGTCGTCTATACTTGGAAATGTAAAGGAATTAGAAGGTCCGGATGGGTTAAAAACTTTATATATATTTCTTCCTGCTTTTAATTTTTCACTAAAACAAAATACGTTAGGTATCCTGATATTTCTTCAATAATTATACTTTCATCATTATATGATAACTATTCTATAGTAATGTTGTTAATCGGCTTAGCCGAATCGGCTCGAACAGAGCTAACCCAAATTTTGGGTCGTTTTTTTCGACCTTGACCCGAGTCCAAGCTGAAAAAACGACCTCGACCCAAAATATGGGTCGTTTTTTTCGACCTCGACCCGAGTCCAAGCCGAATAAAACGACCTCGACCCAAAATATGGGTCGTATTTTTCGATTCAGACTTAAAGTTTATTTTTTTAAAGCCAATGTGTAAAAATATATTTTGCAAACATGTTAAATTAAAATTTCAGTGAAGATGTACCATAGGAAAGTGACAATTGTCATAATCGTCATTTTTGAACTTTTTTGAATTTTTTTAAGGCAAATAGGTAAAAATATATTTTGTAAACATGTTAAATTTAAATTTCAGTGAAGATGTACCATAGGAAAGTGACAATTGTCATAATCGTCATTTTTGAACTTTTTTCAATTTTTTTAAGGTAAATGGGTAGTGTTGTTAATCGGTTTAGCTGAGTCGGCTCGAACAGAGCTAACCCAAATTTTGGGTCGTTTTTTTCGACCTCGACCCGAGTCCAAGCCGAATAAAACGACCTCGACCCAAAATATGGGTCGTATTTTTTGACTCAGATTTAAAATTTGGGTCGTTTTTTCGACTCAGACTAGAAGCTTGGTTGTTTTTTTCGACTCAGACTTGAAGTTTGGTTGTTTTTTTTCGACTCAGACTTGAAGTTTATTTTTTTTTAAGCCAATGTGTAAAAATATATTTTGCAAACTAGTTAAATTAAAATTTCAGTGAAGATCTACTATAGGAAAATGACAATTGTCTTAATCGTCATTTTTGAACATTTTTCAATTTTTTTAGACAAATGGGTAAAAATATATTTTATAAACATGTTAAAAAAAAATTTCATTGAAGATGTACCATAGGAAAGTGACAATTGTCATAATCGTCATTTTTGAACTTTTTTGAATTTTTTTAAGGCAAATAGGTAAAAATATATTTTGTAAACATGTTAAATTTAAATTTCAGTGAAGATGTACCATAGGAAAATGACAATTGTCATAATCGTCATTTTTGAACTTTTTTCAATTTTTTTAAGGCAAATGGGTAGTGTTGTTAATCGGCTTAGCCGAGTCGGCTCGAACAGAGCTAACCCAAATTTTGGGTCATTTTTTTCGACCTCGACTCGAGTCCAAGCCGAATAAAACTACCTCGACCCAAAATATGGGTCGTATTTTTCGACTCAGACTTAAAGTTTGGGTCGTTTTTTCGACTCAGACTTGAAGCTTGGTTGTTTTTTTCGACTCAGACTTGAAGCTTGGTTGTTTTTTTTCGACTCAGACTTGAAGTTTATTTTTTTAAAGCCAATGTGTAAAATTATATTTTGCAAACATGTTAAATTAAAATTTCAGTGAAGATGTACCATAGGAAAGTGACAATTGTCTTAATCTTCATTTTTGAACATTTTTCAATTTTTTTTAGACAAATACGTAAAAATATATTATAAACATGTTAAAATAAAATTTCATTGAAGATGTACCACAGGAAAGTGACAATTGTCATAATCGTCATTTTTGAACTATTTTGAATTTTTTTAAGGCAAATAGGTAAAAATATATTTTGTAAACATGTTAAATTTAAATTTCAGTGAAGATGTACCATAGGAAAGTGACAATTGTCATAATCGTCATTTTTGAACTTTTTTCAATTTTTTTAAGGCAAATGGGTAGTGTTGTTAATCGGCTTAGCCGAGTCGGCTCGAACAGAGCTAACCCAAATTTTGGGTCCTTTTTTCGACCTCGACCCGAGTCCAAGCCGAATAAAACGACCACGACCCAAAATATGGGTCGTATTTTTTGACTTAGACTTAAAGTTTGGGTCGTTTTTTCGACTCAGACTTAAAGTTTAGGTCGTTTTTTCGACTCAGACTTGAAGCTTGGTTGTTTTTTCGACTCAGACTTGAAGTTTGGTTGTTTTTTTTCGACTCAGACTTGAAGTTTATTTTTTTTAAGCCAATGTGTAAAAATATATTTTGCAAACTAGTTAAATTAAAATTTCAGTGAAGATGTACCATAGAAAAGTGACAATTGTCTTAATCGTCATTTTTGAACATTTTTCAATTTTTTTTAGACAAATGGGTAAAAATATATTTTATAAACATGTTAAAATAAAATTTCATTGAAGATGTACCATAGGAAAGTGACAATTGTCATAATCGTCATTTTTGAACTTTTTTAAGGCAAATGGGTAAAAATATATTTTGTTGTAAACATGTTAAATTAAAATTTCATTGAAGATGTACCTTAGGAAAGTGACAATTGTCATAATCGTCATTTTTGAACTTTTTTCAATTTT